TGATAGCTTCGGTAGTACACGTTTTGTACCAGATATGAATTTCTGGTACAAAAGCAGTAGCAGAACACGCGTGCCAACCAGGACACTCAAGTGATTTTGATAATGTTGAAGTTCTGTGCAAAACTAGCTACTGCTGGCCAAGACTAATTAGATAATCTATAGAAATTGAAAGAAAAATAATTTTAACAGTTCGGATAGCTACCGCCTTAGTGCTGCGTGAAAGCGAATCATCAAATAATACATTATTAAAATGCATGCCTATAAAGGGCAGCATACTTCAATAGGGATTACCGTTGGTACGGCTATTTTAATAAAAACAATAGACAAGAAAGACAAGATCAAAGGGCTCGCATAATGCACGTGCATCATGTACGTTGACTCAGTAATACCACCCCCCCCCCCGCCAAGAGTGCAGAAGCGTGGTCACCACATCTACGCCTCTATAGAAGAAACGAAACAGCGAGACTTATCTCTTGACTTAAAGCTTTTGTGACTGCAGGAATTAATATTCTTTGGGTCTTTTGGTTAAGTCACGTAAAAAACTACGATGTTCGTCATCAAGAAAAGGGGGTTAGCTACTAAAGGCAAACTGTCTATAAAGGTTTAAAATGGGTGTAGCCCAAATGTCAGCAGCATGGACGGGGCAGTCGATGTAAATGTGAGTGGTGGGCAGCGACTGTGACGGTCGTGGGTTTTCTACCAATGAAAGGGCTACCAGGTAAAAATGTGCATGTTAATGTAAGATTGGTGAGTAGACTCCACGGCGAGTGTGCTAGTTAGACTTCTCCACAAATCTAGCTGTCGCCTGATGAAGCGAGTTGTAATTACTGGCGAAACGTCATACTCGTTGTGGCTTGGCTCTCCAACACACCGGTGTGCTGTACTAGTGACGAATTGGCATGTTCTGTTACATGTCAACCCTTACTAGTTGGCTGTGTTGGGTGGTGGCGGGTTTTAACGACACTTTTATATATTTACGTGATCTAACCCAAAAAAACTCTATTATGGATGATATTGGTCGCGAAAGCCTACGTGTAAAACTACCGTATTACCTTTGAGTTTCACATCCTGTTGTATTTTCCACTTGGACCTTCCAACAACCTTCCAACAATTGTATCTTGTTGTTAAGGGACCTTGCTGTACAAGCCTTTAGTTTTACTCATTTATATCTTCAACCCGAGTTATTTTCACATATCCTGGAGACCATTCTCATGACACATGGTGACTGTCATCTGCAAATCTGCAATGTTTGAAGTTTTGGCCATTCATATATATATGCATTTGCTTCTACAATTGTGTGAGCAAGCAGAATATAGGAAGGGTTTCTCAAACATCGACCGCATACATTTTTATGAATCAGATTCTGGAAAAGACTAATTAATTTCACTTACCATTGCAACTAGACTTACCTAAGTAAAACTAAATTATAATACTAAACTCTTTTTTATTTTTCCAAGTAAAGCCCAAGGATCTCTATAGCTCCTTTTCAGAAACGACCTTGCTATCATAAATGATAGATCAACGAAGTGGCTTACCATCACGTGGAGATTGATAGCGGCCAAATACTCTAAACGAGCGATGTTGATTCTAAATGTGAAGGGAAAAACCGGGGGACTCGGAGAAAGATCTACGCGACCACAGGGAGAGAGACGCGCAAACTCTAAATATACAACAGGCATCAGGGTCGAGATAGAACCCACGACTTCCTGCATGCCAATTGTGCCCTATTACGTTCTGTATACTTCCATCTCGGTTACGTTCTTGGGGTGTTGGGCGTTTACTGTTGTGGCCCCCCCAGTTGTGGAACTCCCCCCTCCCCAACCTGTGGAGATACGGCTTTTGCATAGTGTTCTGAATTGTTAATTCACGTCTGAAGAAAAAACTTTTTCCTAATGACTTTTTCTGCCATGTGGTTCTTTCTTATCTATCGTCTCTTCATTTCGTGGTGCCTTGAGAATTTTATTTGTGAATGGTGCTTGAGTGTCAATTTTATAATTGTTATTAAATGTAAGAAATGTAGAAATAAAATCCACCTACAAAATAGAACAGCTACAGAGTGCAGGAGATACCAAAATGCAACATGAAGTCACACGCCGTGCACCTACCAAGGTTATTCATTTTTATGCTTTCTTATTTTGTTTGGCATGATTTTTTGGGGTTTTTCACTGATCTCTGTTTTCCATGCCCTTATTACTTCTCTTATGACTTCCCTTACAATGCAACAATTGTTATGTCAATGGGCTCTAACTTTAAACATTCAAGGCAACTTATTTCGATTTAAGGCCCTCTATGATACTATTACAACTGGGTATTTTTAAACATTCAGCAGAAAGTTGTATAACTTTGTTTTTTGTGCACGTTAACTTCCCCAGCATTTGCTACGTAGGTTTTGCGGTCGTGCTGCACTGTATAACTTTCTGACAAGTTTTCGGGTTGAACTGCGGTGTCGTGTCGTTCGGCACAATGTCCGACGTTTCGCTCCACGCGCTGGCAGCTTCAATTCAGTTTCGGAAGCTCCCAGAATGCAGAGCGAAACATCCGACATCACGCCGAGCGCCACGCGGTACAATGCCAAAACCGCATCGGAGAGCTGTAAGTGCGCACAGGCCAAATTTGGCCATTGCGGCAGGTATGGGACCTGGTGAATGACTACCCACTTGTATCTGGGGGTATGGTTGCAGCTTTTGGAGCACTCTGGTCTTTGGTGCGTGGAGCGTTCTTTGCCGGCTTAACCGTCGATGTGTTAACGTGCGCGGTAATTGTCACGCTCTTCAAAGGGCTACCGCTCCAAAACAAAAAGGGGCTCCTTAATTGCTGCAGAGATAGAGACAGTTGTAATCAAATCACTTAAGAATACATTAGGAGTTCACGTGTTTACTTCGTCTTTTGAAATGTCAGTATTTGCATATTGGCATCATTTAACTCTACAACAGGCAACACGGTGAGTGTGCAAAGAAACTGCTGTAATTATGGTCTACCTACCACTCATTGGCTTGAAGCCTGCAGCCTACTAGGCAAAGTAAATGGCGCAACAACAAACTATTGAAATTAGAGCATTAAATATTTACTTGCCAAATATTGACATAAAAATGAAATTGTGTTTTTGTTATCCTGGTGATGTGGCCAATATGTTTGTTGGCTTTAATATGAATGTTGAAATGGTTAATAGCTTTTGGTCATACATGAAAAATAAAGGAGTATGTGTAGCAATGCTGGTGCTGTTGGGGGTAGGCAGGATATTGCCGCGGATGGGGATTGTAGATGAAGGGGTCATTAAGGAAACGCACGAGTTTGTTCCCACATGCTCATTAAAATGAAAAATCTAATGTAAATTGAAAATACAAACACGATAAAATCAAATGCCGTGCTTGTAAACAAACCCTTGTGATGGATCCTGACTGAAGGTTTTTTTTTTACATTTTAAAAATAATTATGTTCGTCAAACATGTATGCTGTTTAACCATTTTAAGGATTACATATTTAGCATTAGTAGGTATATCATTTTGAAATATGTTTCCAATTATATGCCATGGCTAAAATCATAAACATTATCAACCATGCTTAATCCACTGCTGAATGTAGGCCTCCCCAAGCCATCTTTCAGGATCGGCGATGTTATCGTCCAGCTCGCGCATTAACTGATTTCATTACTCCATCTCCTCAGTTAACGTTCTCTCGAACACGTTGCCTTCCTTATTATGATTTTGGATTATTTTAACACGCAGAAAAATGTGTAAATATAAACAACACTAAATTATTTTACTGACCAGGTAAAGTTCACTGAGCGAAATTAAAGTGGCTAATGTAATGGATACATATATCTCAATATGTTAGCACTGCTTAATATAATTAGCAGAGGATTGTAACTTTAAGGGAAGGGAGTTCATGAGGGAAATCCAGAGATTGCAGGGTTTAAAATTACTGTATTGGTGGCTTTGATGAAACTATAAAATGTGAAAAACCCATTTGAAAACTTCGTTATTTTTTTTTACATTTGGTCAGTGTATGATGCTCGCTTTTTAATTGTCTGTTTTCTTTGATGTTATAGTTTTAAATTGTCTTCCATTAACATAGAGATATATTAATAACTTATTGGCAGTTTATTCTGTACACTTTTTTTAATGGTTTGTCTATTGTAAAACACCAGATTTTAAACAAAAGTACACAGTCTTGTATCAAAAGTCTTGTATGTGTAAAAATATATATATATTTCAGAAATAAATTGCGCGTGAATATTTTTTTAAACAGTTAGTTTCAAAGCTACATTCTTGTGAACTCCTGCAGTCACGAAAGCTTTAAGTCAAGATGTCCACTCTTGTCGTAAGCAGCACTGAAGAGCCCGAACCGCTTGTCGTGTGGCAATATATACCATCTTATTGAGTTTACATTCTACATTTGAGAAGACATTCCAGCAACAAACTGTATTCTATTCCTTGAATACACCCATATAGATCACATCTTACGACTGTATCCATTACCTGGGCAAGGGCCGTCAGCAAGTAAGCATGCTGGTCTACAACGGGATTCTCAACCACATGTCATTGCCTCCACAACGCTTACTTTGACACTAAACCAAACACTAGGGAGGTGCAGGTCACATTTAGATACCAATTTCCATTGACAGAATCGTAATCAGAATCTTTATTGAAACTGCAGGAGAAATCCGATGACCTATAAAGCTCTTTGTCACCTACGTCCAGTAGGGGCGGGTCTGAAAGTTGCAACAACAAACAGTACAAACACGCAATAGGAGTGCAAAGTACCGGATTAGCCCACACGTCTGATTAGCACGGTTGGCTACAAATGGTGTGATAGAATATCAACATACGTAGAAAGGAAAAGTAAGCAAATCATTTCAAAATAAAGACGTACAATAGATCAAGTACATTTGCACACATTCACCCTTCAATGTCCACCCTCGTAATCTGGGCGCCTGCTGGATTCCGAACAGTGAACCTCTGCAAAGAGCGGCGTGAGGGCGACCACCCATCAAGCGGTACCTTGACGTCAGGGAAGTAGATCTTGAGCATGGTGGAGCTGGGGTAGCGCGAGTAGTAGAACATGAGCTTGGCCTTCTTGAGGTGACCCGGCGTGAGACCTTCCTGGCCGTGAGCTCAAGGTCAAGGGTTAAACGGCAGCGATTTCGGAGCAAGCGCGGAAGCGTTCGCGGTCATTCATGCACGGCAGCATTGACGAGTCGCGAGCGATCACGCGCGTCAGCAGTGAGACGTTCCCCACGATAGCGTTACAAAAAACGCAACGATTTTAAACATTTGGGCAAAGAAGATGTGATGTTAATTACCAAAAAACGCATTCAATATAGTGACTTCAAGGAAAACATTTTAATCGCTAATTAGGAGTATGAGTGATGACATGGTCATGTTTATAAAACGGGTTTGGTCTGCTTCATCGCTCGTGTGAAATCAACGTGGAAAAGTGAATGGCTCAGATAAGCTCACTGAAAGGTATAATAAGACATATGTCTCATCTTAAACTATAATTACAAATTGAATTTAAATTTTATCTAAGTACAGTCCCATCCCAAGACACTACTAATTATGGAACACTCACTACCATCGTGCAGTTGAACAGTAAGCCAGAAACATAATTTACTTATAGAGAATAAATTACTTATTCTGAAGGGGTAATATCATAAAATGCTCCCTGCTGAGAAAGGACCATCATAGCAATGTAATATAATTGGTAAAAGTGTATACCATTGTGTGCCTCTGTCATGGCAAAAGGTAAGAGATGAATTACAATTGTTAATCATAAAAATAGCGACCCTTTGTCAAATCTGCTGCTGAATGAAGGTCTCCCCCACCCCATGTCAGTAATTTTGATTTGTTTGACTATACCTCACCACGTTGGTTAGTGCAGGTTGGTAAACTAGGATCAGATCAGATATCACTCGCCAATGATGTTAGCCATGGCGAACATGAACCACGACACCTCGCTGATCTCGTTAAGGAGCATAAACCATCATCACGCAAACTCCGTTCATCCTCGCAGCGGCTTCTGGCTCGCCATCGAACAAAGGCGGTCACTGCGTCGCGCGGTTTCAGATGCGCCTTTGCGGCCGTCTGGAACGCTCTTCCTTCCGTTATTAAGAAGCCATTGTGATTGTATATGTTTAGTTTTATATCTACGTGACTTTACCGAAAGAACCAAAGAGCATAGATCCCTGCAGTCACGACAACTTCAAATCTAGATTAAGCCATTGGAGCTATGCAGTTTTAAATCTAGATTGAAAACTCAATTCTTTAGAACTGATTTTGTGTTTAGTTTATTGTCCTTCACTCGCATCTCCGATTCGCAAGCTTGTCTAAGTATGGTGCGAAAGAAGTTCAACATAGCTACTGAACTTCCCAGTGCAGTGTTCTAACCACCGTGCCACGTCTCCCTTGCAATGCGGAGTCATTGGCAGGTGAATGGAAATGGTAACGGAGGAAGAATGTTGATATCAGTCCGGTTCTTTTATGCGTTTATGCTTGTGGGCAAAATCCATCACAATAAGGAGTTAAACAGATTCAGCTTGACTAATTTGTCACGAAATAATAATTGTCACGTAGACGTAATGCTTATTGATACGCAGATGTGTTGTGATAAAGTCGATGGTAATCCCAAAAGAGTATGTATCCGCTGGTAAAGTAGGGTTACGTATCATTTTCGACTCAACATATTATACACGGGACGGGTAACAAACACAACTAGTGATATAGACAGCAGAATAGATAAGATGTGTTTGCAAAGCGTGTTATTAAATGGAGGAACTACAGTCAGTGTGGTTGTTGGAATATTGCAGCAGGTCTTCAGCCATCTCTTACCATGTTTGAACACAATACGTGGAGTTTAAACATCAAGGAAATTGCACTTTCAGTGCGTACTGTCGGATAACACTTAAAGTCTCTCTGGCATGCCTTTATACTAAGGCATGCTGAATTGTCTATCCAATTACAGCATGTGCATAGGAATACTTTTATTTGCTTGTAAAATTATTTACATTTCACGCTGTTTTATATATATGTATGCACATTGTTAAGAGCTGAAATGTGCTTTCATATCAAAATTAGTGTTGCAGCACTTTGATATTATACGGTCATGAGTGGACATAGTAAATGCGATATATTATTTTTGGGCAAAGCTGCGGCAATTTAATTATCGTATACAAGACATGTATAGCGTTTATACTAGTATACACATTACTGCTGTGTTTTAATTTAGTGCGTTTTCAACTCAAGCATATCCCCTTTCAGCCTCGAAATATTGTAGGCACCGGATCTGTTAATAACGAGCACAAACACACAACAAAGGGTGCGTTAAACGCCAATTCTGTTACGGTGAGCCAAATAACGCCGATGTATCACGAGACCACAGGAGATGATTCCAGATATGTATGGATCAGCAGTGGGTAGATCACGGCTCATGCTTAAGTTAATGGGGAGGCCTTGATCCAGCAGTGATAGACGATAGCTGATGAAGATGATGTTCATGATGATGGATCAGAAGTTAACACTGCTGTCTTCGTATTGTGAGAATATCGTTTTAATGTGGACCAAGTAAGGGATATATTTTCAAGCAAAGTGTGGAACACAAATCCTGAAGCTGTTTCGTTCGTATAAATGTTGAACTCATTTCGAACCGTATGTAACCAACCGGGCTCATCGGTGGTACGGGGGAAGGATAACAAACTGAACACAAGAAAACGATTCTAAATTCAAAAGCAGTTCACCAAAAGTTGGAAAAAAATGTTTAGTTGGACACTGATCACCTTTTTCAAATGGGTCAAAGAGCACAAAAATGTCCATGCCGTTGAGACAATAACGAACTTTAAACAACAACGAACCTGAAACAACAAAGAACTTGAAACAATCACGACCTTGAAGCAATCACGAACTTCACTGCAAGGGGAGACTGGTGCCGACAGGCGGACACTGATGCGCTGAGTACGACAATCGGAGCAACTGCTGCCTCCGGTTTCAATGAACCTGGTCAAGCTGCAAGGGTGAGAGAGGTGGGTTTTTGTTTAACTGGGGATTTCAGGTTACCATAACAATGCGAAACCATGGCAAAACGATGTGACAGGTGTCTGTTAAGGGACGTTTCGCTTCTTTGTTTATGCCTATTTATAGCCTGGCATGAGTCTTTACATGGATGCGTCTCTGAAGTAGACAGTGTATATTGGGTTTTAGTAATCACAGTTTCTGATTTGCAAGTCGTGAATATAAATCTCGTGTGCATCTCTTCAAAGCGTTGTCGATTAAGAAGCGGGAGCACACGTCAACCGATGGACATATATTGGGCCCCTGCCATACGAATGTGGAATTCTGTAAATTGGCCGATAGTAATTGTTACTTCTGTACAAATAACATTGTTGACGGAAGCTGCTGTTGTTGTTGTATCTGGAAGAGCCCGTTCCCTCCTCACCGCGCCCTGTGGCATTCAACACAAGGCAGTCGGCGGGGTTGCTGAGATGATGAAGATGATGAAGATGATGATGATGATGATACAGCAGCAGCAGCAGAAGCAGCCACTCGCTCCGTGCCACCCTCGTGTCGCTCCTACCTCGCTCACCGTTTCCGTGACCACGCTGGGCACCCATTCTACCAGACCGACTGCTGTGTGCCGTGCGAAAGAAGTTCAACATACAGTACAAACATTGCGTACACCCGCTGTGGTTCAGCCACAGCACTGCAGGCCACACAACACTTCTCTGTCTGCTTCTCTCCTCACACTGCCCGGCCGGGGCATTCCCTCCCATCGCCTCTTGTCTCAAGTTCTTATCTAACTTTTATACATTACACCTTCAATCGGGAGTTGAAATAAGGGCCCTACATGCACGTACATACGCACACGTCCATCTTTCCCCTAGCCCAGGGGTCGGCAACCTACGGCTCCGGAGCCGCATGCGGCTCTTTACGGGCTGCTTCTTGACGATATGTACGTATGTACAGTATATGTACTCAGATGCATTGCGGCTCTTGAAATACTGAATTTTGTACCGAATTGGAAAGAAATGGCTCTTCTTGTTATTTTGGTTGCCGACCCCTGCCCTAGCCAGCTCCCAGCCCTGTTAATCCCCGTCTCCAAACCCCACTTCTTCCCTACTGGATAGTTATGGATCAAAATGTGACATTGCCCCTTTAAACCAAGGGAATCTTTGCTGGGATCGATACTTGTGCTGTGAATCGACTGTCCAATAAGGAGGCAGAAGGTCAGAATATTAGTGAAGAGTCAAATCAATGAATTGATCATGGGATTAAAGGGACACTTTATTGTTTCAAAGGTCTATTTTAGACTTCCTTGCCAAAAAATGTAAATAAAAGCTGAGCAGCTTAGTTTTAAATTGGAGATGAGGCTCTGGCTGAGATGAATTAAAACAAATCAATGTTTTTGTTCAAATAAAAATAGGGTTGAGGCCGAGGGGGAAATGAATGCAACGCAACATATTTTCTTGCTCTTCCGTTTCTTCTAATTCTGCTTATTCTAACAGTGTTATGGTTAGTAGTAGCGGGGTTGGCTATATGCAGTAAATTTGGCTAAATGCCAGGTATAAGCACAACAAAATATCGGGTTGACTGTCATGCAACCGATGACGTGCGTGTCCGTCATCAGTTTTTCTTCCGATTCTATTCCGATGCTGTCAGTGTAAAAGTGAAGCCGGAAAGAAAATAAAGTAACTTTATCGGTGCCGAGGCTCCCACAAGGCCATGCGGGAGGGCGGGTGGCACAGTTTGGTGCCAGCTATCACAGAATGTGGTCGTGTCGCTAGGATTCTCTGCGCTGAGTACAATGTATTTAAAAACAGCGCCGCTACGCATCTCTGAATACAATCAACGCTGAGCCGCTTGTGCGTTCCGAGATTCAGCGGTGAAAGGGACACCCACCATGCATCTTGCAGACGTCTCGGAATGGGAAAGGGTTAACGATACTCTGCAGCAGGGCCGGCGGGAACATGCTGCCCTCTACTGTGTAGAACAGAGGTCATTTAAAGAGATCTCAGATGTAGCTCTGTGATTTCCACTTCAAATCTCAATCCATTGATCATGAGCAGATGTTGTTGCTGTCTGATTGGACCCAAGAATTTGGCCATCGGATCAGACTGAAAT